AAATGACTGATAAATTCTATGGACAGCATTTCTTGATGTTTATCAAAGTTGCACCTTACACAGCTCACAACCCCACATTATTTTTTAAGGGAGTTTGGCTCTGATCCTCAAATCCCTGGACCAAGAAGCAGGCTATCAAAACTTTTAGTGTTGATGTGTTTAAATTACACAAAAATCGAAAGTTGTAAAAGTTAAACTCAGCAATTGGTAATGTGAAAGCTGTCAATGGTATAATCTTATTTATACCTTAATTAGATTCATGCTAACTGGGTTTGTCAATTATTTTGATACCTCGTAGGTCAACCAGGAGAAAACCCAGATAGTAACAAGCTTGAGAGAGAGCATGTTTCCCCCAACAACTGTAGCAGAGGCGGACAGACTTATGTCAGTAATTTGATTTGTACCCAGTTCTCGTAAACTAGGACAAGAACAGTAGTCCAGGTTTATCCCCTAATCAAGCTATGACTGTAGCCCAACTTAACTGTGCATATAAATATACTGAAAAGTTTTATAATGAAAAAAATTGTCCCTCCTTATAATATAAAGGTAACTTGGACTCAACTTGGACTTGAATGAGAACTTGACTCAGATATGGGCTGAAGTAATGGGGTCTTGACTCTAACTAGATCTGAATTTTTCTCTGACTCTTGAGATTCAAGACTTAGCTCGAGGTTTGGTGATTTGAACACAACACTAAAGTAAATGCCATCAATATGAAGTAATTTGCACAAAATGACAGTGAGCAATGCTGAACACAAAGCAATGATTGAGCATTTTGAGAATTGTGCTTATTTGCTGTTTTTGCATGAATACAGTTTGTGTGTGTTTTCTTTTTTTTTTTTCTTTAATATGTAGAACAAAAAACACAACATGTAAATCATTTTGTCTGGTGTACTGAAACATTTTCTTCTCTTTTCCTTCTCGCAGCAGAGCTAAAAACTTGACTTTGCTTTTATTTAAAAGTCTCTTTTTTACAAAGGTACTCAAGGTATTCCTGGTGTATAAATACAAGATGCCTGGAGCGAAGAAACATCATATCTCTGTGCGAATCCAGCCAAACACTGGTCTCCACACTCATAATGTGAAGAAATACGAGAAGGAGAAATTCTTCAAGTAAAACCCCTCTTCACTGCAAAAACAGCAGGGTTTCATGCCTCTTAAAGGTTTTTTTTTACTGAGATGCTCTTTGCCTCTCTGCTGCCCAGATCTAAAGGTATGGGGGAGACACTGTCCTTAAACGCTGCAGCAGATGTGTTTTAGAGCTCATTTCTTTAACAGAATCCACACTTTGTGGATTTTTTACTGCAGTGGAAAGCTCACCATGATCTTTTATGTTTACTTTTAAGGGGAAAGAGGTCATAATACGACATGTGTGTTTGCAGACAGTCGTTGAAGTGTTACCCCAAAGCCTGGGCATGCGTTGCATATGGAAAGACGATGGATGGTCTGCCTTGAGAGGTATTTTTTATGTGCAAAACAGAGGTTGGTGATTTAGAAACATGGGAGGTAAAGTATGAAGATCTATCATTAAAGAGTGAATAGAGGTGGTCCTGGCTGGCCTCTGGACCTCGCTGTCACTCACGACAGTCTTAATGACATTCTTTCAAAGCCTGAACATCACCAAAGGCTCATTCACAGTCCGGTGCTCAAAGCTTGACCATGGACTCAGACACATGAAAACTCACACTCTTTGCAGGTTCCCCCCTTCAATGGTAGCTTCTCAGCCTTTGTGGTTCAGACACTGGAACGAGATGGGCTTTGAATGACGGCTGTCTGTTTGTGTGAAGTGAAAATGTGGAGTGAAAAGAAGGGCAAAAGAGGACTCCTGTTTGCTGTTTTCCTGAAGACTTCACAAAACTAACATCCTGAAGAGTGGTTTCTATAGAGGCCAGTGCTTTTGTCGCTGGGAGTCATGGGGTTAATCTCATTGTACAGGAACCTGGGTCACCGTTGGTGGCTCTATGTGCTGAAGTGGTCCTTGTTGATTCAGTGTGTTTGCATATGAGTCTCTGTCTCCGGGTTCTCCTGGTGTGGCCATGCTGAAGTGTAGAAGTTTGACAGTCTATCAGCATGTATTTATCTGGGAGACATGATACCAAAGTTTGATCATAGTTTGTAAATAAAAGCTACAAAAATAATATGCTCAGATGACACCAGTTTTTTCAAAGCTTAAGTGACAGGAAAGTTCATTTTTTTCTTCTCTGGTGTACTGACATCTAAAAACTTGTACTATTAATCAATCCCAAACTGCCTTACATTTGTTGAAATTTTTGTGGCAGGAGAGAGGGAGAAAAGAAAAAACTACTGCTTATTAGCCTTACTGCTACATCTACATGTCATAAATTATTTCACCTGCTCTTTAAACACTTCAATATCGGACACTTTTAGACATGATTTCATATTTGGTGCTCCTAAGATTTAGGGCTCTATTTTCATGCTGCGGCGGGGTGTAGGCACAGCATAAGTCAGGTCCCCAAAGCCAATGAGGCATGCCCAAGCACAATTTGGTATTTTGGTGAGCGGCACAGCCTAGCGTAAGTATCCCCCCTCCCTAACTCAGCTTCTCCCAGCGTTGTAAGTAGCAGAGAGGGAGGGGAGAAGGCGTGGAGTGGATTTAATACAGCTGAGTCCTGTTTTCACCAATCACATCAGCTCTTCTCCTCACCTTTAAATCCGCCAATAGCGAGGCGTACTGCAAATTTCTTGAAGTAGTCAAAGAGATGACTGAAGACTCGATAGGAGGCAGCCCCTTAACAAGTGTTGCTCCACACTCTCTCAAATAAGCACAGAGGGATTTGGTGTGTGTAAGGTTGAAACCAATGCTACAAACATCCTTTTCCATAAAAAAATAAAGACAATCACATCAAGTGGCATATATTTAAATGGAATTAAAATTGGAACCACCTCTGCGTAAAGGACGAATCGCGCTCCGTGGCCTGGCTCTTTCTTTCATTGACGTTAGCACATAAAATAAACTTTGCTCATGCAACTAAATATTTTAATATTCATATGTGGGCCTGACTCCGGATTGAACATTCACAGAATTTTAAGGATGTGAAAACAGTAGATAAACAGGCAATTTTGAATGAGAGTTTCTTCAATTTTTTTTGTTCAAATTTTCAAAGTAAATAACTCATCTGATCACTAAAACAAATCATCTGTTCAGCCTTGCCGCCACAGCAGCAGAACAGGGAGAGGCCACAGAGACATGTCCGAGTCGAGCTGCGTGAGAAAGAAGAGGAAGAGGGAAAGAGAAAAAGGGGGGAGATGAATTAAATATCATGTTAACTTCATCATGTGTGACTGTTTACTGGATATTTAAGCTAATGCGGTTTCAGCTGTATTAATTCAGTCAGGTCCAAACGCCTGCCAAATGCACTCAACAGACAGATATACACCAGAACATAAAGATATAGATCTAAATGTATGTGCTGACGCAGATAGTTGCACTGAATATTGGTTGTTGTTGATTATTTATTGCACTGAAATGTAGTGAGGCATCGGTGACATATGCGCACTACCAAAGTACCACTTGACCAGCTGCGCCCCGCCTGCGCTGAATGCTGATCAGATTTAAAGCCACGAAAATAGAGCCCTTTGTGAGAGCAAAATAAAACTTTTGGATTAACATAAGGCTTCATTTTTGACGTCTGTGTCAACCTCTCCTGTAGTTGACCTCTTCCAGTGAGCTGTGTTGATGCTGAAGTGTACTGACCGGACCTGAACAGTTGCCATGGTTTGTCTCCAATGTGCATCATATAGAAAAATAAACATTTGATTTGAATCAGAACTTTGATCGGCCAGTTATTTCAAGGCTCTTACAGATATTTCCAGAAAAGCGAGATTTTCAGGGAACAAAACCTACATCTACAGGCAACTTTCTACCTTCAGGACCTCGACGAAAGACTTAAGACAGGACTACTTCAAAAAAGTGAGAATTGAGCAGTTTTATAGGTTGTGTCGAACATTTAGCTAACATCTCCTTCTGACCCGTGAACAGATTCTGACTGATATTAGCTTTAGCCTTGAGATTTTGTCATTTTATAAATAACCAAAGACAACAGGAGTAAACAGAAGTAAACCCACAGCTGCTGTAAGCACATGTTTACAAGCACATTAACAAAATGAAATGATTTCTTGAATGATTCGCAGTACAATTTTTGTCATATTTAACCTACAGTCATTTTAGTTGCTAACAGTATGTTGGTGTCATATTGTCACATTGAGATGACAACTACACATACATTTGATTAAAAAGAAACACAAAACTTGCCAAATACAGTGTGTTTATTACAACAAAATGTAATTTCACACTAATTGAACACTATTTCTGGTATATTGATAGTAAAATCTATATTTTCTCAGTACAAAATGAAAATTTTTTTAATTGCTACCTAAACATTCAGTTTTTTTTGTTTGAATCTGATCAAACCCACTGATCAGTCCCATATTTCACAGCAGCCACAGCTGAACTATTTTCAAGTGAGACTTTCTTTCAAAACAAACTCCATTAAAGAATTTTTATTTGACAGGACCAACAAAAGACCAGAGACCAGGTACCAGGTACCAGGTCCCAGGACAGGACTTTCTCCTGTAGAGAAAGTGTAAAGAAAAGTATAAATGATGTGAACCATTGAGCAAATAAAAGCAAATTGCCAACATTTGCCAAACTGTTTAACTATTATTGTTAAAGTATGAAAATAATTTCAATAAAATCCCCTGGAAATGTTGGATGTACTTAAAACAAGCTTACATGATAGGCTACATATTTTTAACTTTGTAACGTGATGAGTGCACGCTCACTCTCATTTTTTTATTTATTGATTATTTAGAAAATTTGACATATTATTGATCTTGAAAATATAAGAACATAACTACATCATTACAGAGTTACTGTTAGCTGTTTCAAAGGCACATAATAAGAGTCATCAACTCAGACCCTGGAGAAGTTTTCAAAAGTTTGTTTTTGGTTTTTGCTTGCAGATAAAGCAGCGCTTCACCTGGGCTTCGGCTCTCATCCCGGTTCCAGGTTGGCCCGTCAGCCAGCCGCTCATCCTCCGAAGGGTCCCGGCACAGACCTCCAGCAGCAGCAGCAGCAGCTCCACACCTGCCAGTCCCCCTGGCAGTCACGTTAGGTCGCACACACGGTTTCCTTCCCACCTCACTGATGAGGCCTTGAAGGAGCCACGCTGCAAGGCACTTGCGGCTTTCAGTGAGTTGGTTAAAGCCTGTCCTCTTAAGAGGGTGCCCACTTAGGCTCCCGAGCCAGGCCCATGAACACCACCATGCATTTCTTTTAAACTGTGGTCTCCAGCTCTTCCAGGGTTCTCCTGGAAGAGCTGGCCAGGTGTGCAGGTGTGCTCCCCGAAACCAGCTGTGACCCCATGCGCTGCTCCAAAGAGATGCACATGGAGAGCAGCTCTGGTTCCCAGTGCTGCTCCAGGACAGGGCCCTTTGAAACCAGCTGTGGCCGCCACTGCTGCTGCAGGACAGGGCCCTCCGAAATCAGCTCTGGTCCCTAGTGCTGCTGCAGGTTGAAGGAGGGGAGGTGGGAGTGCAAAGGGTTTCAACTGTCATTGTCAAAGGTACTTATGGATACTTGTTTACTTTATCATAGTTCAATTGATGCAAACCTCTATTATTCCCATCATATGTAGTTTTTTTTCTGGTACTTGTACTTTCTTTGATTTAATTTTACTGACAGAGACAGAGGAGAGGAAGTGGGAGGGCCAAAGGTTTTTAACTGTCACAGAAAAAATGGTACATATTGATACATGTTTACTCTATCTTATTTCCACTGAATCACATACATGGTGGATTATTTTTGTATGTAATGTTTACCTGAACTTTCATTTTCACATGCAAATCTACATATTTGCTGTGTTTGTAATTTCAGAATTTCCGTACCTTTTGTCTGAAGCATGAGCACAGTCTTTCCAGACAGGTGCATCTATTGAGTAGTCAGCATTGAAAACTGGCAGTAAAGGGGTAATCATGGCCATGGAAGTAAGAGGAGGCTCCTGACGGGGGATTTCAGCTGCAAGCAAGCTGGCTTTTTCTGGGATGCAAAAAGGAGGGTATAGATGACTATAGGAGCACAGAGCCTGTATGCCAACAAGCCCCTTAATCCTCAGACATGGAGGCATGACGAGACTCACAACACTGAGTCGAAACTCAAACAGATTGACACAGTGATTGAGACGTTTAGATGTGGTTTTTGTTTGGGTTCAGATTTTCCCCCCAGGCTGGCGACCATTAGCTGTTTTGAGTGTAAATGATGAGTTTAAGTGTGGAGTACATGCCTGGGGGTGATTTTTTTGTCCATACTCTCAACCATCAGTCCATGCGGCCATTATTTTCCAACCTAGAATCTCTACATGCCAAAAGCAGATTAGTTATACTCTGGTTGTTATACCTCACTCTGACACAGCAAGATATCTTTTTTGTTGCTGTTATAGATGAACTACAACTCAACGTCACAGCTGAGTGTTTTCAGTAAAAGCTGAGGTGATTTTGGCATCTGAAGAAGATTAAATTAATCATTTTGGACATATAAAATTCACAACAACCATTTGTTACTATCATAGTGTCACCAGTGCAGCTGGTGTGTAAATTTAACGATCCCATGACCCCATCTGAGAGCTAATCACGATGATTACAGCTTATATTAAGGAAGTTGAGAAATCTACTGTTTACGTTGTAAAAGTTTCCACATTCATCTTAAAGTGTTAGATTTGACCATACAACTAAAAAATAACACTCTTCCCAAAAATAAACTCGATCAAAATGTTCCATTCTTGACAAACAAATACACAAAACAAGCATTTATAAACCATCAAAAACATCCCCTCCAGGGCAATGGAGGCCTAGCAGCCTAGTCTGCCCCATATAAAGCATTACTTGTCACAGCACATGCATATCAATTCCCAGCCATGACTCTGTGCTGCGGATCTCTTCTCACTCTCTGCGCTCCATGTATCCTGTTTTTTAGCTGTCCTATCACTGAAGGCAAAGTGTCCAAACATGTAACTACAGAAACAAAAATACCATGACAACAAAAAACTTAACTTTCCTTAGTTTAAAGTCCCACTCCAATCATTTTTTTTTTTACTACTTAAAGTGTTATCAGTGGTCTTAAAGTTGCAATTATAACGTTTTAGGCCAAATTCACATTATCTGTGTCATTTTCAAGGGCTTTTTTCTGCAGAGCTCCAGTAGATCATTAGCAATTCACCCCTGAGTCGTGGGTGGAGACAGCACTGCTCTGCACACTCCTCTTCATGCTAACTTGTAGCCTAACGTTGCTGGTGTAGTAGAAGTAACAGTTAACATAGTAGTGGAGCGGGAATATGCGATAATAGTGCAAATGGTGATACAAGCATGACATTTGGTACAGAGATCCTTTATACCACTACTAATCATAATATAACCTCTGGCCACCTGGGCGGCACTATATTGGAACCTAATATCTTATTTTTAATTGGAATAAATACCTAAAACATTGTAATAAATTAAAATGAGGGTATGTGTAAGTTTTATAGCTGCAGCAAAGTGATACAGTCCAAAACGTTGACCTGGTGACAGCCATTTCTAAAAGCTCACGGGCATCATGAAAAATGGCGCCGTCCAGGTTGCCAGAGGTTATATTATGATTAGTAGTGGTATAAAGGATATCTGTACCCCATTTGCACTATCGCCTCAAAAATCAGCATATTCCCGCTAGACTATAGGAACCATTTAGCTCTCGGACACTTGTGTCTTTGGAGGAAAGATGAACGCTAATATCAAAATTGGCTTTGTTACTAGCATTGCAACCTGCTAACGCACACGCTTGTTCCACGATTTTTCAAGATGGCCGCTAGCTTTTAGAAATAGCTGCCACCAGGTCAACGTTTTAGACTCTATCGCTCTGCTGCAGCTATAAATCTTACATTTACCCTACCTTTGAAATAATATATGTTTTAGGCATTTATACCAATTAAAAACAACATATTAGGTTCTGATATGGCAGCAAATAACCAATATGGCGGCCTAGTCACACTCTAAATTGCTGATTTTTGAGAGGATGATCAAAATGGTGATACAACCATATAATTTGGTACATATGATCTTTATATGACCATATTTTAGAATCAACCTTTGGCTAAGCAGATTTCAACCATTTTAAAAGATGGCCGCCCAGAAATAGAAATGGGAAGAATTCTGTATTTTGTTGGTCATTATAGCTGCTGTTTGGAAGTTTGTCATGTATTTATTCATAATAGATCAGGTTTATTTATATGTCATAGACATGAGCTATTATGAAAAGCCATATTTGTTTTAAAAATGGCCACACATGACAAATCAATAATATATTGTGTACACTACCAGGGCACACTGGTTGACACTATAGCTGTGAGACTCAGCATGGGGTTCAATGCTAGCTAGTAAATTTGTCCAGTGAATTTGCGACCACATAACTGCATTCCACCAAAAGAGCTGCATTCGAAGCAGGCCATATATGGAGTCAGTCACTTGTATGTAGTCCTACTGTGCCAAGTCCAATCCACTGGGGATGGCACCAGATGGACAGAATCTGGGTTCCACACTGGACAGATCTTCCTGTGGTGGCCAAATCATGCCAGGAGCTGACACGATGTAGTTGTAAAAAAGGATGTTCTGGCCGCTGCAAATAATTCAAGTTTGGACTTAGCTGCATATCCCTCTGTGGTTGTAATTGTTAGTGCATGTAAGAATGTAGACACAAAGAAGACGCAGGAGGCCTACCACTAGCCTAGCCACCATTGTAGATAATAAACACACATATATACACACATATACATATACATACATACATATATAAACACAACTGGGCTCAGATAATAAACACACAAAAAACAAAAAAAAGGTGAAAAAACAAAAACACACACACAAAAAAACCAAACAAACAAACAAGCAAACAAACAAAAAATCTACCCACCTAGGGCCCAGTCAGTACCCACATGAACAGCCCAAGTCGGAACAAAGTGTATCCCACGAACTTCCAATTAGGAAGCCCACCTTGAAACATATGTGGGTCCTGACTGGGCGTGCTGGTCTGGGTAATGGTACCTATGTCACTAAAATGCAAACAAATCACTTTAAATGTGTCATCATAAATTGATTCTATCTATGGAAATAAATACAACTATGTGCTGCATGCTCTTATGGCTTAACCGTGAACTGCAGTATATTTCTGCTATTTATCGGCAGCCATATTGGAAATTTGCCACCATATTGGAACCTAATATCTTATTTTTAATTGGAATAAATACCTAAAACATTGTAATAAATTAAAATGAGGGTATGTGTAAGTTTTATAGCTGCAGCAAAGTGATACAGTCCAAAACGTTGACCTGGTGACAGCCATTTCTAAAAGCTCACGGGCATCATGAAAAATGGCGCCGTCCAGGTTGCCAGAGGTTATATTATGATTAGTAGTGGTATAAAGGATATCTGTACCCCATTTGCACTATCGCCTCAAAAATCAGCATATTCCCGCTAGACTATAGGAACCATTTAGCTCTCGGACACTTGTGTCTTTGGAGGAAAGATGAACGCTAATATCAAAATTGGCTTTGTTACTAGCATTGCAACCTGCTAACGCACACGCTTGTTCCACGATTGTCCTCTCTACTTCTTGGAGTCTGACCTGCAGAGTGGAGATTGGATATGTGACATAGCAAATCTCACTGTGACCTGCCACAGATTTACAGCGATTTGAGTGCAGAAATACTCAGAGATGCAATTTTGTTCTTAGTTTTCTCATATGTCCTTTAGCATCAGAAAAATGCCACATAAACATGTAGACAACAAGAAAAACATGATTTTCATCAGAGTGGGTCTTAAAGAAAAAAAGTAAATTAAAAAACATTTATATGGTAAAAATATATATTTTTTTATATGCAAACAAGTGCCCAGATTTATCTTGTGAATTTCCCTTCAGGGAAAAAATAAGCTTTTCTTCTTCTTCTCTTCATCCAGTTTTTACCACCCAGGCTCTAGCTTAACAATACCTTGATTTGATCACAGGAGCTACACTGATGACAAATTTCCTAATATGTCACACTTAAGCTCTCTTAAAGTGTCATTTGAACTAAAACTAAGTCTTTACAGCTTCATCAAGAATCTGATCAGTGCAAACAAGCAGAACTTTTATTTTTACACCCTCCAGATAAAAGAGGAAGTGATGGAGGGGAGACTGGTGATAAGTGGTTTGACCCCGGCCATCATGATAAAGACCATAAACCGAGCTCTGGTCAGAGGTTATTTAAGGATTAAAGAGCTCTGAGTGGTAATAAATGATAGGTCTGGAAAAGATTAGCCAGTACTGCAGCTCATATCAACACCAGACAGACATCTAGATCCCTTTATGTTACTGATCTGTTTACAAGAGAAAACAAGTGTGAAATAATAGTAGAAAGAAATGAAGTGATACATACATACAGAGCAGAGCAGTGTTTG